TATCACGTCAGCCAGCTCAGGCAGGGCTGTTGATACATAGCAGGGAGCCAGGTATATAATCAACAAGCCCACTTGCACCCCTTGCCCCCACTTCACAAGGAGGGACTCCACGTCGTCTATCTGAGGCACAGTGGTCTCCCTAGGACAAAGGCTCTCCCTTATAATGACCGCTACCCCCCCGCCCCTACCCCGGGTCCTCTGTTTGACTCTGATCTTCCCTGCTTCTTTCTTGTCCTAAGACAGTGGTTCTCAACCTGTGGGTCAGGACCCATTTGGGGTCGATCGACCATTTCATGGGGGTCGCCAAGCAAGGCTGTCCGCCATTTTTTTGTCTGCCATTTTTTTTTGTCCGCCATTTTTTCCCCCTTTTCCGGCGGGTGCCTTACCTCCCTTGGGCTGGGCCAGCTGGTGGTCGGCCTGCTCCGTCTCTGCCGCTTGCCAGCTACACCTTGGCCGGCGCAGGGGGCGGAACCACGCATGCACGGCACTCCCGGGCAGGGAAAGTCCTTGACTTACGACCGGTTGGGTAGTCCTCGAATTACGACAGATTTAGTCCTCAACTTACGACCAGTTTAGTCCTCGACTTATGACCGGTTGGGGTCGCGGCATTAAAAAGGTTGAGAACCACTGTCCTAAGACAAGGGGAGGAAGGTCTGAAAGTAGAGGCAGTCCTCAACTTATGACCACAATTGGGACTGTAATCTTGGTTGTTCAATGAAGCAGCTACTAAGTGAGGTGAGAGACCACCTGGCTCAAGGACCTCAATGCACACTCCTGATTGTGCCCATTAAGTGATCCTTAGTGGGTTGCTAAGTGGAGGGCAGCCCTGGCTTATTCCACAACCCTTGGATTGGCACAAGACACAGGATTGTATGAATTGCGGTCATTGCATTTCCCACCCGGATGGGAGAGAGGCCAGTTGAATCCCTGGATCACAGTCGTCTGATGCCCTAAGGACAATCAAGTCCAAACAAAACACTCTGTGTGAATTTCTCTCTGTGTGTGTATGTATTAGAAAGAGGACTTCAGTCAGGGCACCCCAAAAGAGACTCAACCCCAGAAGATCAGAGAGGAGAGGAGGGAGGGGAAAATGGCTCAGATTTGGCATTTCATCCTTCTGCAGGTGCAACAGCCAAGCTACTTATTCTGGAACCTGACCTAAGATGCCTCGTAATTCCAGTTCAGACAGCATCAACTCAACGAAAATGGTTTTAAAACAAATATTTATTGTCCAGGAATTCTTAGCAGAAACTTACTATTCTGTAGATGCGTCCGGTTTTGTATATTTGTCCATTTTGCATAGGTAAAAAACAATAATTCTCCATATCGGCTTAGCGTAGTCGCAGATGCCATGTTTGCATCCACATGGTGGTTACACACAAAGGGCTTTTTTTACCCCTGGCACGTAACAGGATGTCCTGCAATAACTTTTAAACTCTTCCCACTGTCTAGACCAGTGTTTCTTAACTTTGGCAACTTTAAGAGGTGTGGACTTCAATTCCCAGAATTCCCCAGCCAGCAATGCTGGCTGGGGAATTCTGGGAGTTGAAGTCCACACATTTTAACGGTGCCAAGGTTGAGAAACACTGGTCTAGATCAGGGCTTTTCAACCTTTTCACCCATTGTACCACTTTTAGGATATGGCAACATCCGAGTACCACCAGTCGCCTAGCAAGGTGTCAAAAACTTGACCAAAAAAAAAAAAAAAAGGAACAAAGTGATAAAGTACAGGTAGTCCTCGACTTACAACAGTTTGCTTAGTGACTGTTCAAAGTTACAATGGCACTGAAAAAAGTGCCCCCCAAGCCACAGCCGAGCAAGACACCTGCCTACCCGCCCGGCGGCGCTCTTCCTCCTGTCCGAGGTTTTCATTGTTGTGAGCATTTCTGTTGAGGATTGGCAGTGGGGGTGGGGTGGGGTGTGTGGTTTTTATTCCCCCCGTCTGCTGGGTGGTTGCAGCAGGTTTTGGTCACTTCACATGACCCTGGGACACTGTGACCGTCATAAATATGAATCAGTTGCCAAGCATCTGAATGTAAATCACAAGGCCCTGGAGATGCTGCAACATTCCAGCTGATCGGCGCTTCTTCTGGGCTCAGCAGAAGCGTCAGGATCAGCGCCGAGCTCCAGCTGGAGTCTGGCGCTGATCCTGTTGCTTCCACTGAGCCCTGACAGCCCCGAAGAAGCGCCGATCAGCTGGAAAGCGGCACTGATCCTGGTGCTTCCGCTGAGCCCTGACAGCCCTGCAGCTCCAGCCGTCTCTCGCTCAGGCTTGTGCGGTGCTGCCACCGGTTCAGCTCATTCCCCTCCCCCGCTACCACTTTTCTAGGATGGTCGCGTACCACCTGCCAGGTGCCAATGTACCACAGGTGGTACCCCTACCACTGATTGAAAAGCCCTGGTCTAGATGTATAGGATTAACTAAAAGCTAAAACTACATTACCCATAAGCCATCTCTTAAGGAAACAGAGAACAGCGTTTAACCCTTTAAATGCTAAACATTCTAACATACAGTTCTTAAGCTAA